AATACTGTGGTCAGCATAGCCGGAGTTGGGCTAATAAGAGGTACTTTTTCTAAACGCAATGCCGCAATGCAATTTTCAAATATGCAAGCCGAGGGGCTGCAAAGGGGAGATTGGGGAAGGATCACTTTTCTTAAAGCTTGGCCTGTGCTCTTTTAATTGGTAGTGTTACGTGCCACACCCCCTCCCCTTCCGCTACTCATCTCAAAATCATTGTACAAATAACCGAACATTTCGGGACAAATAACCAAATATTTTCCCTTCTATGCTTTATGTACTGTATTTATAGCTTGAGTATTTGTGTGGGTGCTTAAAACCGGGAAATACTGTACATAACCAAATGAATGCGGCTTCTTTTTTGATGCACTTGCAACGCAACACTTCCCAATTATCAAGTAATATATATGTATAATAATAAATACCGTCTCGGGGAGCATCCCACCAAAACTTACCGCCCATACGGAGATCATAGTTGGTTGAATATTCGCTGCGACATTTGGGACAGCAATGTGTATTCCGTAATGCAGTAGCGACGAATTTCCGATCAAACAATTTTGCCGGCTGACTTGAGATATGAATTTTTTCGCAAGCACTTGTATTTACAATCGGCGGGCCCATTCTTTCCCGAGCATTGATCTTTTTCGATTCATTTCGAATCGTAAACATTTTTTCTGCACTAAATCGAACTTTACTGAGGTCTAATTTGAGAAATTTTCCAATTTCAGCACTCCAAAACAAACGGTAAAAATTAAATGGCTGCAAATGCACATATGATTGTAAATGCGAATGAGTGACGAAAACAAAAGACCGATATTGCTAGGAATGAAATGGCAAATGGAACAATTGTAGCTAACTGCATGGTTGCAATCATGTATGGGAAATATTTGTGTTAAGCAAAGTGGAACAAATTAATTGTTTCGAACTAAAATTAAAAAATTTATACAATTTATTCTTTGCCTAAGTTTTACTATTAGCAATTTCAAGGCAAGCATAAGGAGCTTTTTTATGAAATTCGGTGGGATTTTGTTGCATGTTATCATTAAAGTGTCAAACACACCACACAAACGATTTGCCAAACAAGACGAAATTTCCCTTTAGTTCAAACCTGTTGTACGGTGTATTGTGGCGCTAGACGGTTGGACAAACCACTTGAAGATTTGAACAAAAATCCAATTTTATTTTTTTTCTGGCCGGCATGTTGAAGTTTGATCAAACAGCTTGTGTAGTGTATGGTAAAAAAGCCTCATTCGCAATCGAATTTTCACCGATTGAGGACGTTATGAGCTAAATACACCATACAAGCGGTTTGGCAAACCCACACTTTTTTAATCCGCCATACACCAAACATGGCTCGTTCAAGCCGAAAATTTTAGCTTTCTTTCGGTTCATAGCATAAAATTCCCTGCTAGGACGAGTTATGCCTGTATGGTGTATGGCAAAAGGAAAAAAATTGATTTAAAGCAGGTTTGTCAAGCTACTAGTGTGGTATATTGGCGCTTTAAGAGAAAAATTTAAGAAAGGCAATTTTTTTACACCTGAACCGGAAGAAAACTAATACTCTCTGCTAGAACGTGTCATGCTTGTAAATGTCAGACTTTGTTTTGGACCGTGATCCAAATACGCTTTTAAGGCACCTTTAAGGCGTGGTTAAACGTGGCAATGCAAGTGCTTATTCTACGAATTTTGCTCTCAAAACGCGAAATCGTAAGTGCACTTTCCTGCGTAATCAGCCAGGGAGTCCTTTTTGCAGATTTCCAGAGCTCACTTTCGGAAATAAAAATTGCAAGGTGCAATTGCAACTGAAATTATACAAATCGCTTTCGCTCGTACTTACTTGCAATTTTCATTTTTGCTGCAAGTTCTGTCAAACCAATCGAGTTTTATAGAAATGTTGAATACTATCTGAAAAATAGGCATTTTGTGATGGTTTTGTATACCTTTTAGCAGGTTTAGTAAATTTTTCAGGCCATTAAATTTGTTATAAGCGTAAAAATGCCTAGAACATAGTTGAAAGTGGACTTATTCACCGTGTAAACAGATGAAAAGTAGTATCGGAAAGTTTGTTTTCCAGAAATAAGAACTGCTTTGGAAAGCCATTTTACATGCAAGGTGTAACTGCTCGTGCAATCTCTCTTGGAAATACTTCAGTCTGATAGACTTTTGAAATGACTCGCACTGGCCACTAAGAGCTACTTTATATTGCTATATGTGACCTGGTCTACGAAAAGGGAGCTTACGTGCGAAAACTAGTTTTCTGTGAAAAAGCAGTTAAAAGTAAGCAACTCGTTTCGTCAGTTTCTCATTATCTCGTTAATTGTTCTCCGCGCCGGACGACCAGTAAGTGTTGTTGTTGGTCCAGTAAGTGTTGTTGTTGGTCGGAATATTATTATAGTTTTATTATTATTATTATTAATATTATTATTATTTTTAGTACACTTCTAAGCAAGTTAGGATTTTCTGCTTTTCCCCACGTGAAAAAGCATCTCATCTTCCATCCGAATCAACCAAAAAGTGAAAATTGATTTTTTGACACCTAAGCCCCCTTTCCATAGACCAGCTCACATATATGTATGCAGGGTTGCCACTGACGAAAAAAAATATTTACCATCCACTTGAGAAAAATCCACCAAATCTGGAAATATCTACCAATACATTTTTATAGTTATTTTAATAGTAATTAAAATTGCTTTTAAGGAGCTTTTTATTTAACTAATTATACGGTATTTGAGTCATATTATTGGCATATTCTCAGTTTCCTTCGACCAAAAGCGGAAGTGATGAAATTAAATGCAACAACGAAACTTCATAATTTGAAAAACTTCAACTCGAGTTATTATAGACAAATACAGTGACTCAAAAAAGCACTTGGTGATTTATTTTATAATTCGCAGCTTTTCAACTAAAATTTATCTTTTTTGCTTTAACTAAATCCATAAAATTTAAGGATTCAAACTTTCATACATTTAGAAAATTTTAAAAAATTTTCTCCAAATTTCGATTTTTTTACTCTGAATTTTTAGAACAATTTAAGGTACCAAGTTTTCTATTGATAAAAAAATGGCGTTGATTTGATTTTTTTGCGAACAATCATAGTGCGTCATTACATACCTGTAATTTTTTTCTTTATGTGTATTTAAATAATCATTTCAAATATTTAGGCAATCAAAAGCTCCTCGGGATTCCAGTAAAATGAGTTCNTTGTGCATCAAAGCAACTGTCAAAAATTTCCAGCAGTAAAAAGTTACGAATTGGCACAGCAGAAATGTAAAATTTTCTCACCATAGTAAAAAGTTTTTCCACCATAGAACTTTTCTATCAATTGGCACAGGCCCTAACTACGTAAAAGAAATCGGGAACGAAATGTTCAACAAAAATCTACCAAAATGAGAAAAAAATTACCTTTTTACTAACCCAAATTACCAGAGTGGCAACCCTGTATGTATGCACAGAATACAGTAAAAGTATAAACAGAACCAAATCGCTGTGCGAATAGCGTCGGTCGGAGCGATGGCGTTGGGTGATATTCGTCCCAACGTTTCGCCCAGTTAAATAGAACAGAACTGAAATTCGCATCAATTGAACGACAAATAAAAAATATAAAAATACAAAAGCGAAAAGATGAATAGCCAAATTTTGCCATTCTGATCCTTGCTGATAATTACCTGATAGAAAAATGGGGAAACAAAGCTACATTTCCACTAAGATCAGATTTTGTGACCGGTGGCAGCGGCAAAATTATAAAAAATCTATTCTTGACGAATTTCGTCAGTCGAACTTCGTCGTCACTTTGGTTGTGTGCAATCGCATAAACTGCAGTGTGTTTTAATTTTAGCATCGAAATTTCTCTGAGCGATTTGATTCTGTTTATACTTTCACCCAGATAGACAAAACCATGATAAAAACATAGCAAGGTATAACCGTTCTCTCAATTTGTCGGCCATGATTTTTTTTGAAGTTTGCCAACATTTTAAAATCATATAAAGTGAAAATAAAAAATTGAAATTGTACGAAATTGTTGTTGCTTGAGATTGAAAATGAAAATGTGTGTGTGAGTTTGTGAGTAAATTTAAAAATTAAATTGTTTGGAAACGTCAAGAATTTTAAAAGTGACTCTCAGCGGTTCTACCTTACTATATTTTTATCATGGGCAAAACCACAAATGGTATGTATGCACATTTAACGAATATTTTTATTTATAAAATTTAAATTGAAACACGACCAAAAAATTAAAAAATCCAATTCTAACAGTTAGACTATGAATTTGATTATATGTGTGTACCAAGGTACATTGAACAGGTAGTATCAGTAGAGCAGCTGATTTGATTTATTTTCAAATTATTTGGTCTCGAAAATGTCAAATATTTTTAATTTTTTCTCACGAAAATTATAAGTTGTAAAAATCCACTAGCTTGTGAAACCTTTTTCCATACAAAACAAGCGATTGAATAGCAGCTTTTGGAACGTTCGCCCAACTCGGCAGCACGACCGCTGATTACTGGGCCTTGCAAAGGATGGATCAATGCTTCGAGAAGCAAACAAATTTACTAGGAAAGAAAGTTGCATCAATTTTTATTTT